GAAAAAAAATAAAATGAAATTTTTAATTGTTGATCAGAATTACCCCCAACAGACTCTATTTATGATTGTCTGTATTTTTGAGATCCAGAGACATTAAATAATTTTTTTGACGTGAATAGACAATACAAGAAATTTATTGATTTGAATCAAAATGAAAAATGATGTATTCGTTTTTAAAAATATTTTTTGCTTATTTTGTTTTTTCGTTCGTTTGATGCGAGAAGTTTTTTTTATGTTCATTTAAAAAGAAAAAAAAAGCAGATAGCTTTTTCTATTTGTCAATTAAGAAATCAATGTTTGAGAATAGCAGTAAGAATTAATATTTTGTAGATTAACAATTTACTCTAGTTCTAGATAAAATCTATTTGTTTAATATTACATTAAAGAATGATTATTTTTTTTTCTTTCATTTTTATTTTATTATTATATCATGTATTCTACATACTTTTGTTTATTTTTTTCACTAGACAATCTATTTAAAAATTATTTTTGATGAGTTCTCATGTTGCTAAACAAAATGTGTCTAATGTCTTAATCACATAATGATTTGTTTATTCTGGTCAATTCTGCATTTATCACCAAAAAAAAAAAAAAAAACTACACATATTGCTACGAAAATAATATTCACACACATATATATCAAGTAAAAAATAAAGTATACCAAAAAGAAAAAAAGAATGAAATATTGCACCATCAATATATTTAATTTCAATTACTTTCTCGAATAATCTAGATATTGTTTATTATATCGTATCATAATTTCGTTGACGATGAGCTGCATATCGAGTTTTAATTTTGTTTATAGCTATTTTACATTCACGAATAAATAATGGTAAAATGCAACAACAAGTAACAAATGTCTGAAAATTAAAAGAAAAAAAAATATATAAAGAAATAAAAGTGTAAAAAATTTTTCTTACCATAAGAACAAAAAAATAAAAAACGAATCGCCAATCTTTCCAACGTTTTTCAATAAGTGGAATTAATACTTGTCCAATAGCTGCTCCAAAACTTCCCGTACCATCAACAATACCCGTTACTGTTGATAAAGCTTGATCACTAGCCGCTAATATTTCTTGTCGTCCAAGATCAGCAGTTATAGCAGCACTAATCATATTAGCTGGACCACCAATAAATACACCAGTCACAGTCATTACTACTCCATTTGCTGTTTTATCATTAGCTAAACCTAAATATTATAATAAAACAAAAAGTGATTTAATTAAAAACAATTATAACTGACCGCTAAAAACAAATAACATTGGAATAGCAGTAAGTAACGCTGGAACGACAACAATTGACCGAAGACCAACCAGATCCTATTAATAGATTGTTTTTTTTTTCTATTTTCATAATAATTTTTTAATATAACTTACAGAGATAAGACCACCAACAATTCCACCAATAATTCCACCAACATCATATAATGTTGAAAGTAAATCAGCATCAGATTCTTGCCAACGAAATTTAGCATGTAAATAAAATGGAAGCCAAAAAAAGAATGAATCTATTATACATAGAAAATTCATTTGAAATATTCAATTTTTATTTTCAATTAACTTACAATTAACTAATTTAAGACCAGCATAGCATAATGAATACTAAATTAAAACGTAAGATTTTTAGTGAAAAAAAAAACCAATACTAATAATCTCAGAGTTTTTTTTACCATAGCTACACCGGGTAAAACCCATGCTCGAAAAAATGTTATTGGTTTAGTTGCTGTTGATTCTGATGTTTTTACAATTATCTCTGTTTCTTCACCTGTCTCACGATCATTGACTCTCGTTGTTGTTTCTAAATGATGAAGAATATATTTTTTTTTTATTTAAAATAGAATAAATTTAAATATATCAAAAGAATCAATTACTATAAAATGAATGATTTTTAGTTAAATTATTCAAACAATATTTTTCTCTTTAAAAGATGTCATACATATATATATATGCCTCAATATTAACTTTCTTACCTTCAGTTGATGTATTGACATGTTTTATTTCCATACCTATGAAAATAATGTTTTCAAAAAAATAATAAAAGAAGAAAAATCTTTTTCACACATACCAACATCTGCTGGTGATGGAATAATAGCAAAGAAACATATAATAGCACAACAAATTAATAGAACAGTACAAACAAGAAATGGATATTCATAACCATATGTACGAAAACTAGCAGCTAATGCTGCACCAAATATATTACCAACTGAGGCACATGCACTCCAAATACCAAAAATAAGACCACGACTAAAAAAACAAGAATAAGATAAAACAAGAATGATTTTTGATTTTTTTTTACTTGCCCTTCTTTTCCAAACCAATTTCCCA